TTTGAGAGAACCAGACAGAAGCAGATTGCTGCTAGTATTCAAAGACCAACTCCTCCTCCTCGCTCTAAGAAAGGAAAGAAGACAGGCTCCACCTTCACTTTAGCTCAATGGCTTAACAGTGACTTAGCTACACCTGATGCTGCTCAATTCAGAGAAATGAAGAAACATATGACCCCTACTCAACAAGAGAATCTCATTCTGGATGAAGATGGGCTAATAATAATTAACCATGGTGGGTCTATGCAAGAAGCAGAAGACTGGTGGCGATTGAAAGTGATCCCTGGCAAGGACCTATCTGAAGCCATCAGAAACTATCTAGATTGCCAGCTTGAACCTGCCTGGTCAGAATATCAGAATCCCAGGAATCTTGCTACAATCAGAGCTAGGGTCAATGCTGATCTGAAGGAAATTGAGGCAAAGGAAGCTCAACTAGAAGAGGAAGATATCTAAACTCTATCCTCTTGTTGCTTTAAATATCTTTCATTAATAAGATAACCTGCTTGCCTCTATTTTGCATGGCAACTTCAAATTATTGCATTCTGATTATTTATGCTCTGATATCTTGTGCTATTTCTTATGTTATTTATCTGATTGATTGTATCTTACTCTTACTATTCTCCTATGCCAAGTGCCCACCAAGATTTTAAATGAAAGTTTTTCTTTTCTTATTTTCTTTATGGTGAAAGGCACTTCTCTGGAGATAGTTTAAGGGTTTTGGCATCATCAAAAAGGGGGAAATTGTAAGGAATAAATGTAATTAGATTTTGATGATGCTATAGGATTAGAAGATTAGAGTACCCCCAATTAGATTTTATATATTAGAATTTTTAATTGTAAGTATTAGTGTAGTCGACGATCAGAGTTGCTCTATGAGAACTGCTCCTTCAGACTTGCTCTATGAGAACTGCTCCATCAGAGTTCTCTTAGCAGAAGTTCATCAGAGTTGCACCATGAAAGTTGCTGAGAAACTTGGACATCTGATAACCGATGAGAACTACAAATCAAAGGTACTCATCAGCGGACATATCAGAGTCAGAGTTAGAGCTCTATCCGGGATCAGAAAGCCATCAGAACTCAACTCATCAGAAGGCAATCAGAATCCAACACATCAGAAGAGCCTGATCAGAACTCGACTAACACTTAGAAGATTTCAAGCAACATCCAACAGCTATGAGTTCAACGGGTAAAAACATCCAACGGCTAGAAGACTGTGCATGAAAGGAAAGCATTTAATGCACATTAAATGAGCCTGATACGCTGAAGGATTGATTGCAAATGATTGACCAAGGAATCCGGGAAGATATATTATAAAAATAGAAACCTTCCAAAACGGCGGTCAAGTCAACTGTACGCGCATTTAATGCAGTTGTCTCCTCCTCCAACGGGCAGACAACCCCAGTATATAAGCTACTCACCGAAGAACAGGGATACAACTTTGCTACAACTTGTGCTCATAAAACTTTCAAGCTCTCTTGAGATTCAAACTCCACAACACAAAAACAAGAAAAAGCTTACGTTGGGAAGATTCAATCTCACAATCTCTCATCCCCAACAAGAGCAAAGTTCATCCTGCTCTTCAACTCTTCAAGATCTTCATCAAACATCATTTGTGACGAAGCAAGTTGGAGGAAAAACTCTGTTTTTCAAAGGATCTTCTGAAAAGAAGGGCGTCCAAGTAACTGCAGTAGTGAAGTGGTGATACTTCCGGGAAACTGAGTGAAAGGACCAGCCATCAGGACGTGGAATTGCATCCTGGGTGGCATCTAGGCTTGAAGAAGACGAGGAGTGCTTCTTAAGTGCTAGGAATTAGCTTTGTAACTGATCTACTTCAAAGCTAGTGGAACAGTGGACTAGAGGAACAAGTTGTTCCTTGAACCACTATAAAATATCCGGTGTCATTTACTTTACTGCAATTTACGTTTCTGCACTTAGGATATTAACTGATTAACTCTAAGACTTGGAATCTGTGTTCAGCAGATCTTGTTTTAAGAGTTATCAGAAAGGCATTTGCCTTAGTGTTTCTGAGGCTACCCGGACAGATCAGAATCCGCTGCCAAGGCCAGTTCTAATATCAGAACCAGCCTATCTCTGTCATCAGAATCAGACCTTCTCTGATAAGTCACTTTTGACTTAGAGAAAATTTGAAAAACCAACCAGTCTATTCACCCCCCCCTCTAGACTGGTTACCATTTTAAACGGGACCAACAGTAAGTATTCAAGAAGGGCGTCTGAGGCCCACTCGAGGGTGACCCACACGGCTTGTAGTCCATGAACATAAATACAAAAGTCACAAATAAGTGATAGGATGATTAGAGAAGAATACAAATGCCTATGACCCCATCTTCGACATTATTGAGCTAAATAATGGAAGTAAGATTTTTCCTTCTATAATGTTCATCATGTAAATTATTGGGATGATCCTACACATATTGGGGATCAATAATATGATGTATGAAGTTGACTTGGCCTACATAAATTATATGAGTACAAAAAGACATCTCATGACAAAGATAAAACAATAGGGTCCATCTTTTCGTTTTGGAAGTATTGGTAGGTATTTTGAACCCCAAATTGAATGGGATCATTTGGGAACCATCCCACATGACCTTGGTACCTACAAGACAAAGAAAAATGGGTGAGACAACTATGTGGGGCGGAAATTTTGACTTAAGAGCAACAACATTACAAAAAGGAAATAAAAGAGGAGGTCCACACCATGTTTGATTGCAATCAAACACCCTAACCTTTCTTTTTGTGAACCACATGCTTAGATATCATTTTGAGAGATCCTAAACACCTCCCCCTCACCCCCCATTCGAACTGAAAGAGATAAGAACACTCAAAAGGGAGAGAGATAAGGGAGCTGGCCGCAGGGATAATCTCCAGTTCGTGGAGCTCACTGTTTGGTTAGTATCTTGAGAAATACTCATACAAAAAGGGCGTGTGAGGTGTCCACTGAAAGCTCTCAAGAAGAGGGATCCATAGACGTGAGTTTTGAAGAAAACGGAGCAGTTTAAGGCCTCCAAGACTTCCGAACAAAACACAACCCCGCAGAATACGTTTTTGTATTCAAAGTAAGTTTGAATCCAAAACCTTCCTCTCTATTGTCTAAATCATATGAATGATTGGAGAACTATTATAAATTGGTTGAAGTGTATAAAATGTTATTATAAAGTGACTTTAATTGTTGGAAAGGTTAGATACTAACCTAGACAAAACCTTGAAAGGTTAGGGAACGAATTCGCTGGAAAAACACCCGTTCTAGGGGCTGTTTTCGTATCGACATTTAGGGGTTGAGATAGCACTTTGAGGAGGCTGTTTAACACTCATATTTAAGAAAGGAATCAGTTCTTAATACACCTTGACCGAAGCTTTGACCATTCGATCAAGAAGGAAAAGTTTAAAGCTCAATTAAGGTGAGGATCGACATCTAATTGCTTACAACTTGTAGGTTAAGCATGAGATTACCTAAATGCCTAAATCATATTTTTTTCATGGATTATGATGATTAAATATTGATGAAATATTGATATAGTTCCCAAAGAATGAAATTGGAAATGATTTGAGGATGTATGAATAATATGAGATTAAATGAGTTTTTTTTTTTTTTTACTCATGTATTAAATATGTGGATACATAAATGGATGTTTATGTATCCACATATTAAATGAGTTACATAAATGGAGATTAAATGAGTTATAAATGGAGATTAAATGAGTTATAAATGAACTATTTTGTGAAATAGAGATTTTACTCATGTATTAAATATGTGGATACATAAATGGATGTTTATGTATTGAAGATTGAATATTTAAGTTGCTGCTACATACTTATAAATATGTAGATAATTACAAAATGAGGATATTTGTGTGATGACAATAATCTTAATAGTATTGAAATACTAGTTAGTGATTATTTGAGATTGTTGATAGAATTGATCCTAAGTATTGGATTGTATGGAATGCACTTGAATGTACTTCAAGTGTATAAAATGACTTAGTATGAAGCTAAGAGTAACCTATGTCAATTCTAGGCATAGGTTTTTTTTTTAACCCGGAAGGCAAACCACTGCATCCAGTGGGGCAAATGCCGGGGAACATTTGCCGTTATTTTATTATCAAATCAACACCAATACAAATAGAAGAGGGGGACCAGACCAAGACCTCTTCTGAAAGAGCATTCCCTTTCAGAAATACATGAATAAAAGACAAAAATAAAAACATTTTGGGGGGGCTAGACCTGACCCAAAAGGAAAAAATACCAGAGTTAAACACGCAAATTTGGAAATCCAAACAGATCCGCATAGTAACTCTTTTTCACCGAACTAGGAAGATGGGCCACACGGTTAAACCACATAATTTGGGCCGATTGGAGCCTTATACCCGCAAGACTATGGGCCGGCCCATTCCCTTCCCGAAGCACATGTCCGAAACTAAATCTTTTCTCTGTTTCTTTCTTCCTGAAATCAGCTAGCCTTCCTAAATGGTCCACCTGAATCAAATCAATGGAACGAAGAGCATCAACCTCCACCTGAACGTCGACATACCCAGCCCTTATCGCTAACTCGGAAGCAAAAACTAAAGCCTCCATCTCCGCTTCTTCACTGGAACTCGCCTGTAGGTCAAAGCATGCTGCCCAAATCATCTCACCTGATTGATTCCTAAGAATGGCACCTCCCGTGGAAAAACCAGGTTTGAACGAAGCATCAATGTTCAATTTAAATCTTTGTTTAGGCCTTCTCCACTTGATAATCTGGATACTAGAGTTCTTAAATTTGAAATTAAATGGAAGCAATCCCTCCAGAATCAGAAAGTTATCCACTACCCTTCGTTTGATATTCGACAAGCTATATGCCCATTTCTGAGAATAAAACTTAATTTGGAAAATGACAATCTCAGGGTCAGGGATAGCTTTCCCTCCCCAAGTATAAGAAGAATATATTTTCCATATATGCCATGTAATTATACTTGGCATATTATGCTTGAAAATGTCTGCCATAGATTTAGAACCAGCTTCAATCCACCAAAGAATCATAATTTGCCTAATTGAAGCAACCATGGGCATATTAATCCCAAAGACTGCCATGAAATACTGCCATATTTTCTTAGAATAAGAACAGTTAAAGAATATATGATCAGTAGTTTCACAGTTACTCCTGCATAATGGACATCTTGAAGGTTGGAGAGTAATCTGAAATCTTTGCATATTCTCACTAATAGGCAGAAAAGAGTTTAAGAGCTTCCAAAGAAAGAATTTGACCTGCATAGTTTGGTTCTTATGCCAAATATGTTTATCAGTAAAAGTAACAAATTTTGTATCTCTGATTTCATTGTATGCAGATGCCAAAGAGAATAAGCCATGGATACCAGGATCCCACTGCATTGTACCAGAGGAAGTATAAGAACAAAGGCTAGCAGCCATATCATGAATCCCACAAATCCTTCTCCATACATTAGAATCAGTAATTCTTGACCTCATATCCTCCCCTCTAGGATATCTAGCTTTAACAAATTCACACCAGGCGGATTTATTATTCTTCCACCTCCACCATAATTTTAGAGTGTATGCTTTCTCCACATCAGCTAATGCTCTAAACCCAAGACCACCCTCATCTATTGGATAGCATAATCTGCTCCACTTAGCCCAATGAAAGTTTTTCTTGTTTGAATTTGATCCCCAAAGAAAAGAGGCCATTTTCTTCTCCAGAATGGATATGACTTTTTTAGGAAGCTGATCAATAGCTAGAAGATGATTAGGAATAGTACTGAGAACATATTTGATTAAAATGATTCTGCCCCCTTGGGATAGGTTCTTTTGTTTCCATGAGGACAATTTTGAATCAAAGTGCTTGATAATGTGTGAGCAGTACTGAAACCTATTGTCACGCCCCGGACCTCCCCGGACACGTCAACAACCCGCCGTACAATACAAATAGTCAACCGCAGTCCAACACATTCATATTATACAAGGCGTCTTGAATATCATTCACACACGTAACATCCATAAACAAACATAATAAGTAATTCATAACGCAGCGGAAAACATTGTTTAAAACAAAGGGCCACACAGGGCTATTCATGAGCACGCAGGCTCTAAAGTAAAATATCCATGAGCATGTTTATTAATGTTTAAAAAACGAATGGAGGAAGCACGAACCAAGTCTTCCCTCCTAGATGATCTCTCGAGCAACGAGCACAGGAAGCAAGCTCTAGCCTCAACCTGAAAAATGGTGGTGGGACGCCCCCGAAGGGGTCAGCACTCTATAGGGCTATAAAGTGCTGGTGTGGCAGGCATCTAATAGATATACAACAAGTATTTCACACACAAGACCCTCAAATAGGGTGATAATATAGTATAGGCCGTAATCTCAAATTACCCCTTTCAAAATATATACTTACTTTATATAAAGTCAAGTAGTCGGCTCAAAGGCCCATGTTTGTTATAAAACATTTTCCAAAACCCCGTGACTAATGGTCACGACATACGTAGGGTCCAACCCTAATACAACTTCTCATTTCTAGAGTTCGGCTCGAGTACATCATCATGCACTCGCATCATAGATCTCCTACTTCATATAATCATATCATAGATCTCCTACTTCATATAATCACACCATAGATCTCCTACTTCATAAAACCACACCATAGATCTCCTACTTCATAAAACCACACCATAGATCTCCTACTTCATAAAACCACACCATAGATCTCCTACTTCATAAAACCACACCATAGATCTCCTACTCCATGATTTCCCAATTGACACTTGAATCTCATTCCAGTTCATCACAAACAAACTCAACCTTTAAGTTTGGTTCTATCAACATTTAGAACAATCCTTAACTAGCATCACAATACTATTAAGATTATTCCTACAACTCATTTATCATTAATGGTAGCCCCTCCATATCAATAGATATGTGGCAGCCTCCCATGTGCTAAGCATCATCATGCAATCATACATTTACATACACATAACATTCATACATGAGTTGGAAGGTCAATTTACCATTTTAGCATACTTTTATCTCACATGACTCCATATTCATCAATATGGTTTCAATTTATGATCAAGTCCATTACTTATCATTCATATCATGTTCAAGCATATTTATTCACAAAAACATGATTTAAGCATTTAGGTAATCTCATGCATAACCTACAAGTTGTAAGCAACTAGATGTCGGTCCTCACCTCAAATGAGCTTTAAAACCTTCCTTCTCGATCCAATGACCAAAGCCTCGGCCAAGGAATATTGAGAGCTGGTTCCTTGCTTGAAAATGGGTGTTAAACAGCTTCCTCAAGTTGCTATTTCAACTCCTAATCGTTGATACGAAAACAGCCCCTAGAACGGGTGTTTTCCGGCTAACTCGATTCCTAGTTTTCCAATATTTGCATCTAGGTTAGTATCTAACCTTTACATCAATAAAATAACTTAATAGGGATGTTTTATACACTTGGAGTAGTGTATAATAGTCCCACCAATCGTTCATATCATTTGGAAAATGAATGGAAAGGTTTTGGGATTAAAAACTCACTTAGAAGAGTAAATCCGTCCCTGCGAGGTCGCGTTCTGCTCGGACGATTTGGAAGTCTTCCTCTACTCCGATTGATGCAAACCAGACCTTCACGGATTCCTCGTCTTGAGAGCTTTCTTTTTGTATCTCACACGCCTTAATTGGATTGGTAAAACTCGAGATATCAACCAAACAGTCTCAGCACTCTCACAGCTCGAGTTCACAGACCACTGCTCGCTTCAGATCGATTTTTGGATGACTACTCTCTCCTCTCGAACAGAGACCACTCAATTATGAAAATAGACTTCAAAGGCTATCCAAGGACACCTTATACACCTCATTTGGACGAGTACAACTCTCAAAATGAAGGGAGACAAAACAGCACACCTGTTTGTGCGAAAACAGTGGTGGTGGCCCCAAAATTTGATTCCAATTGTGTCATGGGCAGTGCTTCTCCATGTGGTGCGGCCAAGGTGAGTCTTCTCACATATTTTCCTTGTCTTGCAGGTACTAATATCATGTGGAGTGGTTCCCCATTGATCCCAATTAATTTGGGATCCAAAATATCTATCAATACACCCAAAAATGGAAGAATGAGTCCTATTGTTTTATCTTTTGTCAAAGATGTCTTTTTGTACTCATCCTAATTTATTTAGAACAAGTCAACTTCCTACATAACATTATTGATCCCCAATATGTGTAGGCTCATCTCAATAATTTACTTGATGGATAATATAGAAGGAAAATCCTACTCCCATTATTTGGCTCAATAATGCCAAAGATGGGGTTATAGGCATTTGTACTCTTCTTTAATCATCCTATCACTTATCTTGACATTTGTCATTCATATTATTGGGCTACAAGCCGTGTGGGTCGCCCCCGAGTGGGCCTACGACGCCGTCCTCAAATATTTGCTACTTTAGCAGGTTGGGCCCAAATAATATATGGGCTGCCCGCCCTTCCTCAACTTGTCTTGAAACGTTATGTATAACTATTTAGATAATGTTAGGATCTTTTATTTATTAATAAGGCCCGATACTAATATACGAGTTCGAACAGTATAATAATCAATCATTAATTACGTAAAACAACAATCGTTTCACAAATTTTTGGGAATCAGAAATTCAATACATAAACTTTGAATTTTAAATCGAATTTTCAAGGACGTTCGGGAGCGGTGTCACACCTATTCCTTCCTATATGTAGGCTGGCTCCTAAATACTTCATTGGTAGGCTAGATTTCCTCATTCCCAAAGTTTTAGCAATATTGGAACTTCTGTAAGTAGCACCCTTCCCAGCAATTCTAGGCATAGGTTTGCTTAGGAATTGGATTATAATGAAGGATTAGAGCCGGACTCTATGATTGCATGGAAATGTAGTTGGGCCGAGCCCTTGCCATGTAATTGTGATTTGCATGGAAATGTAGTTGGGCCGAGCCCTTGCCATGTAATTGTGATTTGCATGGAAATGTAGTTGGGCCGAGCCCTTGCCATGTAATTGTGATTTGCATGGAAACGTAGTTGGGCCGAGCCCTTGCCATGTAAATTGTGGTTTGCATAGAAACGTAGTTGGGCCGAGCCCTTGCTATGCAAATGTGATAGGATGTACTTGGCATAAAGGATTGCATAGAAATGTAGTTGGGCCGAGCCTGCAATGGTAATGTGATGAACTTATGAATTGTCGTGGCTTATAGTCACGGGGAATGGGAATGGTGATTTCTAAATGAACATGGGCCCACAGGCTGACTACTTTGACTTTTACATAAAGTAAGTATATTTTCAAATGGGGTAACTTAGGGTTACCACTATATTGTATTATCACCCTATTTGAGGGTCTTGTGTTTGAAATACTTGTTGTATATCCCTTAGATGCCATCTACACCAGTACTTTATAGCCGTATAGAGTACTGACCCCCTTCGGGGCGTCCCACCACCATTTCAGGTTGAGGCTCGAGCTTGCTACCTGTGCCCGTTGCTCGGGTGATCCTTTGGAGAGAAGACGTGGTTCGTGCCTTCTCCATTCTGTTTTGAACAATATTAAGCATGCTCATGGATATTTTACTATAGAGCCTGCGAGCTCATGAATAGCCATGTGTGGCCCTTTTGTTTTAAACAATGTTTTCCGCTGCGTTATGAATTACTTATTATGTTTGTTTATGGATGTTATGTTTGTGAATGATATTCAAGACGCCTTGTATAATATGAATGTGTTGGACTGCGGTTGACTATTCGTATTGTACGGCGGGTTGTTGACGTGTCCGGGTAGGTCCGGGGCGTGACATGATCAGCCAATTTTTTCACATCACCATCCGAGAAGCTAATGGCTGGATATCCCTTAAACCTTGATCTCTGAACTTGAAGTCCTTCATTGCTTCGATTAGCCACGATGTCTGCAAAAGATTTCCCCCTCCAAGCCGTCCCTGGAGGTGGTGGCGCCATCGTAGAAGGGGAGTTAGCCGTCATACGCCAGTGCTTAGGGTTCCTGTAAGGAATAAATGTAATTAGATTTTGATGATGCTAGGTTATTTAGATTAGAATTTTAAAGTACCCCCAAATTAGATTTCATGTATTAGTATTTTCTGATGTAAGTATTAGTGTAGTCGACAATCAGAGTTGCTCGCTTGTGGATCTGATCAGAGTTGCTCTATGAGAACTGCCTTCAGAGTTGCTCGCTTGTGGATCCGATCAGAGTTACTCTCAGCAGTTCATGAGAGTTACTCATCAGAGAAGCATCAGAGTTCGGCGTATAGCTTCATCAGAACTCAACATCAGACAAGCATCAGAGTTCTCTCACCAGAGCTCGACTTGAAGCTACATCAGAACTACTCTTCAGAAATCCAGCAGAATCCAACGTATCAGAAGACTTCGATCAGAGTCAGACTAACACTTAGAAGAATTTCAAAGCTACTTCCAACGGCTGGGAAATTCATCAACGGCTAGAAGATATTCCGTCCAAGGAAAGTATTTAATGCTCATTAAATAAGCCTGATACGCTTTGGATTGATTGCAAATGATTGACCGAGAAATCTGGAAGATATATTTTAAAATAGAAAGCTTCCAAATCAGTGGGTCAAGTCAACAGTACGCGCATTTAATGCAGTTGTCTCCTCCTCCAACGGGCAGACAACCTCTGTATATAAGCTACAAGCCGAAGAACAGGAAGAGGACACTTTAACGAACTTTTGCTCTGAACTTCATACTACAAGCATTCTTGAGATTCAAACTCCACAACACAAATACAAGAAAAAGCTTACGTTGGGAAGATTCAACTTCACAATCTTTCACCCCCAACAAGAGCAAAGTTCATCCTGTTCTTCAACTCTTCAAGAACTTCATCAAACATCATTTGTGACGAAGCAAGTTGGAGGAAAAACTTTGTTTTTCAAAGGATCTTCTGAAAAGAAGGGCGTCCAAGTAACTGCAGTAGTGAAGTGGTGATACTTCCGGGAAGCTGAGTGAAAGGACCAGCCATCAGGACGTGGAACTGCATCCTGGGTGGCAGCTAGGCTTGAAGAAGGCGTGGAGAACTTCTTAAGTGCTAGGAACTAAGCTTTGTAACCGATCTACTTCAAAGCTAGTGGAACAGTGGACTAGAGGAACGCGTTGTTCCTTGAACCACTATAAAAATATCTGGTGTCATTTAATTTACTGCAACTTATCTTTCTGCAATTAGGACGTTAACTGATTAACTCTAAGACTTGGAATCTGTGTTCAGCAGATCTCGTTTTCAGAGTTATCAGAAAGGCATTTGCCTTAGTGTTTCTGAGGCTACCCGGACAGATCAGAATCCGCTGCCAAGGCCAGTTCTGATATCAGAACCAGCCTTCCTCTGTTACCAGGGTAAGACCTTCTCTGATAAGTCAGTTTGGACTTAGAGAAAAATTTGAAAAACCAATCAGTCTATCCACCCCCCCCCCCCCCTCTAGACTGATTACCATTTAATCGGGACCAACAAGTGGTATCAGAGCCTCCTTGTTCTTGTAATCTTTTAGGTTACTCTCTGAACAAAGATCCACTTGTTCTTAGCCTCTTTATTTATTATAATGGATAATTCTCTTGCAAAGCATCTTATGTTCACAGATCAGAAGTATGATGATTGGAAGATCAGAATGAAGGCACATCTATGTGCCCTTCATGATGAAATGTGGGAAGTCTTGGAAAATGGCCCCTTTATCCAGTTCATGAAGATCAATCCTGCTCACTCTATTGATAACTCTCAGCCCCAGATGATTGAGAAAGCCCGGTCAGAATGGACCAAGGAAGAGAAAAGGCAGTACAATCTAGATAATATAGCCAAGGACATCCTCTACAAGGCTATTGATGAAAGATACTTCAACAGAATCAAGAAGTGCAAAACTGCCAAAGAAATCTGGGATAAGCTGGATGAGATTGGAGCAGGAGATGAGCAAGAAAGAGATAACAAGTTGACCATTGCAATGAAAAAGTTTGATGACTTCAAACTTCTGCCAGAAGAATGCATTGCTAAGATGCATGAGAGACTGCTGATTCTCATCAGTGAGATTTCTGAGCTTGGGAAGGAGATCACCATCAAAGAGGTCAATGTTGGTCCCAGTTTTGCAGACTAACGATCAGCTAGATGAACATCATCGATAGACAGAAGAGAAGGATTTCATATAATGATATAAGATTTATCGAGAACAGTGAAACCTTCTTTCTGTAGTATCGAGAAGTAAATTTGGCAGCGTAAGGCTAATGTGTATTGATCGATATCGGTACCTGTACACAAGGCGCGTATTTATAGGCGCTGTACAGGTTACCGATTTAGGTAAACCTTGGAAGTTGGGCCAAGGCCTTTTTGGGCCTTATTCCCTTTACCTTATTTGCTACATAATAAATACTAAATACTAATCTAATACCATAAATGGTATAACTAGTCTACTTTATTTAAACAAGACATTATAGACAAACTTGACCCACAATAAAAGTTCTAACAATCTCCCCCTTTGTGGTCAAGTGCCGTCTTGCTGGGTTTCTTCACTTCTGAGCTTTGTAATAGTTCTTTCTGAGATTAAGTGCGTGCTCATAGTTTCTGAGTGAGTTTCTTCTATCAAGTTGTTTCTGGATAGCCTGTAGAATTTTGTCTATTCTGTGTGCTTCCTTTAATTCGGCATCTGTCGCATCTGCATACTGTTGTTGTCTTTCTTTGAATGCTTCTCTGATCGGTTGCAGCTTTTCTTTCACAATCTTCAGGGTTCCGTCACAGTACTTGTTGATTTCATCAATGAATAGCATACGTTTCTCACCATTATGATTTAGATAGATAAGCGTGATTGGTCTAT